GAATTAACCATCAAGCTAACTGATGTTAGTTTTCATTCTGGTGCAAGCTTTTTATCTAATCACAGACCAGTGACTCCAATTAGCAGAACATACTGAGTAACACTTGTTCATATCACAAGGCTCTTTGCATTCTGTTTGAGATTGCAATTCTTTTTATGTCTTGAGTCAGTGTTCTCATAAATTTTATTCAGCTGTAAGTGTGAATTATAAGTGAGTGAGAAATCATTGGCTATTTTGGTGACTTCAGTTCTCAGCCCTGAAGGACTGAGTCTGGGCTACTCTCATGAGTAAGATTATTGTATTAGTCAGTTTTCTGTTACTATAACAAAATACCAGAGACAATAATTTATAAGGAGGTAATGTTGGTTGCACTCATGGTTTCAATCAAATATAACATTAGCCCCATTGCTTAGGTCCATGGCAAGACAGTACATCCTTATGGGAACGTGTGGCAGAGGAATTCACATGGAGGCCAGGAAGCAAAAGAGAAAGAGGAGGGGCTGGAGCCCAAAAACCCCTCAAGGGCATACCCCTAGGGCCTAACTTACTTTTGCTAAGCTTCACCTCCTAAATGTACCACCACCTCCCACCACCACCACAGGCTGGGATCTAAGCCTTTAATACCTGAGCCTTTGGGGTATGCTTCTAAACCATAGCAGCTACCCATTGCCCGGATTCCTTTAATCCAGCAAGGAAACATCCAGTCAGTAGCCAGAAACTGGATCCCCTCAGAAGGTCTGTTGTAGCACCAACCTAGATTGGTGAGTATGGGTAAATATATAACAACTACTCCAGTCAAGATAGAAAATGTCCCCATCATTCATTTTGCCTCTGTTTACCACCATTCACTTTCAACTCTATGCAACTAACAACTGCTTTAGCCTGAGAGTATCACATGTTCAGTTTGGCTCATTATGTTGTGTAAAGTGAATTATTTCCCATTACTTTGTGTGTGGTGGGTGGGGTATATGTGTGTGCATGGATTGAAGTAAGTAAGGATTGAACCTCACACATGCAAAGCCTGTGCTTTACCACTGATCCACACCCCCGCCCTTACTGCCCCTCCATTGTTTTTTAACCAAGCCTCAATTATCAAAAATAATTAAACATTACATTAAAGCACAATACAAAATAACACTATAAAATTACAGCATCCATTCACAATTTAAAGAAATTTAAAAAAAAAAACAAAGAAGTAGTTGGCACTATTCAGTTATGCTCTCTGTTTTGTTCATATTTTTAAAATCTCACCTCTATTGAGCTACTTCTTGAAAGCAATATCTCTTTGGTCTCAGAAATCAATTTTGTACTTTTATAAAATATATATCTTAAAATCTGAGTCTGGCCATCTCTTAGCCATACTACATTAATAATCAGCCTAGACTACAAGGAGGAAAAGTCAGTCCAGAGCTTTTGCTGCCTCACTCCTCTGATTTTAGGTATATGCTGGAGAACCAGAGGAGGAAGGTAATTGGGTTTTGTGGAATTTATAGGTATTTGGGTAACTCTTTGCTGGGGGTAAAACAGGCACCCAAGAGAGACATATTAATCTGGTCACAGTGGTGAATATGACCAGGAACTCCTTGATGTCCCCCTTGCTTGGGCCTGGAGCGTAGGCTTGGGGATCTACGCGCTAAGTCCGAGCTCAAACTTGAGCAGTTCATACATTGTTTTTCTTCATCTATAAAATGAGGATTAGAATAACTCATAGTAGGCTGAGGATGGAGCTCAGTGGTAGAGCATTTGCCTAGCATGTGCGAGGCCCTGGGTTCTGTCCCTAGCACCACAAAAAAATTGCCTCATGGAGTTGTGGAAATAATTATTCAACAAGTCATTCACAAATATTATTGATATCTGCTATTGGCCACACACACTGTGCTGAATTCTGATGATAACCACAGTGAACAAAGTCTCTTCTCTCAAGACTTTCACATGTCCTAGTGAGGAGAGATGTCATGGGGGGGAGAGGGGGAGGGGGAGGGGGATGAGGTCAGTGAGATATATGGATGTGGGTGATGCAGATCAGGGAAGGCTTTGGAGTCCATTGTGAGGGCTTTGGGTTCTACCGTAAATGCTAGGTGGAGCCATATGATGGTTTCAAAATGAGGAATGACCAATATACCTTACATTTTCCAGGAATTATTGTGTTTGCTAAGTTGATGCTAAATTATAGATAGGCAAAGATGAAAATAGGTAGAATAATTATGTCATCTCAGCAATTGGGGTGAAGGACGGTGGTGGCTTGAATTAGTATAATAGCAGCAGAGGTAGTGGGATGAGCTTATGTTTTGAGGGTAACCTACACATTTGCTGATGACTTAGATGTGGAGTGTGGAAAAAAACAGAGAAGGCAAAGGTTAGTCTCCATTGTTTGGCCATTCACTGATTTAGGGAGGACTCCAGTACATGTTGGTTTGGAGGGAATTCTAGAGCTCATTTTCTAGATATGCTACATATTTTTGGAGGTGATGTTGCTGGAGATGGAACTCAGGATCTTTTGCACGTTAAGTAGGTGCACTTTACCACTTTACCCCAAGTCTGTGCACATGTAAAACTTAAGATGTCTATATTATGTCTCTCTTAGGTATTAGAATGTCTATATTAGATATTCAAAATATCAAGTATCCAGTTGAATCCAGGAGTCTGGAATTCATGGGTGGGAGATCACATGGAGATAAACATAGAAGATCCTTGATAGACTGAAAGCTAGATCTAGGCTTCAATTGTTGATGGAGAAGTGAGGAGGGAAGGACACCACCCTGAGGATTCTCTGGTGGTGGGGGGGTGGTAAGGAGGAACCAATAGAGAAGGCTGGGAGATAAGGAGGTGACCATCAGCATCCAGCTTTGCTGGTACAACTGAGGTTGACCATTTTGTATGAGAGAGTAGATAGAAGTACCCCAGGTGTCCTATGCACCAGGAGTGTTTAACTAACTTAGATCTCTCCTCATCCTCCTTGCTTTCTTTTCTGTTTGGGGTGGTGGAAAACCTCCCCCAGGTTCATGAGTCCTGAAAGCCTTACTTGGAGAAATGTTCTAAATCGTTCCTGCCTGAAGTTTACTTAAGCCAATATGAACCCTCCTGGTGAGGCATGACCGGTGCCTACTAAAATCACATGACTTCAGAATGGAGTTTCTAAATATATCATCTCGTTAAAACTCATAAACTTGCAGTGCTCTGTTGTCTTTGAAGAAAAAAAAAAAAAAAACAGAGGAGATCAGTGTTTGGATGGGCTCACCAGGTTCTGGGCAGGATGCCTTCACATAAAATTGTTTATTTCTTCTTATATACATTGTGTGTTTATTACATATAACATTTTAGATTTGCAGTGTTCACTGCCCTGGTAATAGTTATTGTTTTTTGGCCAGTTCCATATCTGAGTTTTAATGAATGAATGGACTCTAGTAAGTCTCCCACCCACAGCCTTTTCTGTATATGATTTTCATTTTATAAATGCTGACCCAACCTATTCTTGAGTAAGCCCCTGAAAATGTTTTATGGTGATACTAAGTTTTATTCTTGTCCCTGAAGGTTGTGTTCAAAAAATTGGAGAGCAGTTCACATTTTTCAAAGCATTCCTTTATTCAAAAATTTATTGAGCCTTGCAATCAGTCTGATTATACTAACTTGCTTGTTTTCAAAAGCATTGACGTGTTGTTCCTTTTTCACTCTGCATTCTGTCCTACATTGCATTGCCTCCTTTCTTAGCTGCAGACGATAGGCTGAACTTTTCCTAGGTTCCAACAAACACTGAGAGTCCAATTGGAAAAGAAAATGTACATACATCTTAATTTTTGTTTGCTTTGCATAAGACTGTTGTAATGTTGGGAATCAGGAGGTAGAGTGACAGGTTTGGGTGGAGAGAGACTGAAGGATGTTACTGAGAAGCAGCTAAGTCCAAGTGTAGAATACTACAGAGTTCAGTGGCCACAGCAAGCTATATAACTCCAGTGATGGGCTCTTGCCTGGCACCTTGAACCAAACTAAAATGATTTTAGAAAATTGAGTTAATTATAATTCTTATTCTACTCTTTTGAAAATTGTTGGGAGCTGCAATGTTTCCAGCCTATTATTTAAACACTCTTGCAGATAAGTTCATGAGGTATTGAGCCAGTAAACTTTAAAATAGCATGCAGAATTTCCATTTTTTCTTTCTGCATCTTAAGGGAGTGTTCCTCCTCTGACTTATTTCACATTGTTAACCCAAGGATTTCCTTGCCTAAGAGTTCTCTAAAATATTTTCATCCTCTCATAATCATTTCATCACTTTCTACCTTGCATTGTATTTGGTTGAGGCTTGAGGAATGAATGTGTACATCAGGCTATATTAACAAAATGCAAGGATTTCAATGGCCAGGATGATGCCTTTTTACGTTTGTTACCTCTCAGAGCTTATTTAAATAATTCAGTATTTTGTACAGGATGGGAGTTCAATGAACATTTGTCTAATGGACCTGAATAAGCATTTGTAACTGTGGTATTGATTGCTTTATCCAATGGTGAATTCAAAATGTGTAATAACAACTAAAGATATGATCTCATTGAATTTGTTTTTATTTATTTTATTCATTTTCGTTGTTTTGCAAGGAAACTCTTTTTATATTTGTCTATTTACCAATGTGCCTCAACATTTATGGAGCTTAAGTTGCCTTATATGTTTTACTTCAACCTCTTGTGGATAATTACCTGGCATTCGTAAGCAGAGTATGACTCTAACAGACTCTCTCCTAATAATTTAAAATTACTTGAAATACACTTTCTCTGGTGACTTTAGATATATTTGTTTCTATCTCTTGGTCTTTGAAGAGAGCCAAATGTCCTGGCAATTCTGTAAAGCCAATATAAACCCTATGCCAAAATGTACTTACATATTTTCAAAAGCCAAGATTATTATTTACCTAATAAAAATGCCTTTAAGTGTTCTGTTATAATAAAGTTCTATGTATTTATTAACATTTTAATAGAAATTATCTGAAGTCTTGTTTTTTTGTACATGGTAGCACAGGGAAGCTCAAACATGAGTGGTTTCTCCAGAAAGATTCTGAAGGGGACACACCTTCACTTATCAACTGGCCTTCCAGGTACATCTCACGTTGTAAAACTTGTGGCTCATGTTTAATGGATGCTTTTCTGTTTTCCCTTGGACTTGGCTTTGCAATTCCACACTTTAGCTAATGCTGACTCTCCTCTTGCCCTCTTGTTAGTGGCAATGCATTTGAAAACCATGTGTTCAAAAAGAACTTACTTTCAAATCATTGTTTTCTCCTCGCATCACCCTAATCCATGCTGATAGCGTTTCTCTTCCTCCTTTCCCTCTCTCTGAGGATCTTTTCTATACCTTTTGCTTTTCCCCTTTCTCACCAACTCACACAGAACTGGCCTTTTGGGGGCAGTAGTGAGTGCATAAGCAGTCCTTGGTCCTTGGAATCTCACTGAACAGCCGGCCAGTGTTTCCTCTTGCCAGAGCCTCTCTGTCCAGCACTCCGGCTCCTTGTTTTATGTCTCCTTGTCTCTAAACTCTGGCATTTGTAGTTAATTTTCAACAGTAAATTTAGGGCATGTGGTTTTAAAAGCAGACAAAAACCCCTATCATTTCATTTTTTAAGACTGGGGGCAGGGAGAGGCAAAAGAAGTAAGAATGAATAAGTCATTGGAGGGACAAAGCACCCATGTACTGAGTTTCTAACAGTGACTTTGTTCTCAGCTGAGGACAACATTCAGATTGTCTCTGATTAGAAGCACACATTCCACAGGAGAACTTGACCACATTTCAGACTCCTTTTAAAAGATTAACAAAGGTTATAAATATGAAAACCTCCAACACTGGCTAGTCTCTGAGAAAAATAATAACTCAGAATGTTTGTTTCCCACGAATTGTTCATAATAACTGCCTTTTATGTGTATCTTTTTTTTTAAAGAATCTGTACCAATATCCTGCTTAAAAACCACAGAGGTGTTTATATTTATCAGGGTACACTTGTCCTTAAATGGACCATTCTTTTCTGTAAAGTGTGCATCATAATTACTTTTGCTGAGTCATTTTAAGTAAATCAAAGTTATACATTTTCCCAAGAAATCACTTCTCCCACTCCAAATGTCTTCTTTACTTTTTTTTAAACGTCAGAGCCAATCAGTAATCCATTATCAGTTTGAATGGTTTTCCCTTTCTCACTACATGGTATTTCAAAAAGTAAAATTAAAAACTAGATCATACTTCCAAACGTTTATTCTTTGCTGAAGCCATGTGTTTTGCAAATAACATACTATGTACATTACATCACTATTATTTTCTTTTCTTTTGTGGTGCTAGGGAATGAACCCAGCACGTGCTCAGCAAGCACTCTGCCGATGAGCTATATCCCCATTCCACTATTATTCCCATTTAAAAGGTAAAGCAAGTGAGGCTTGAGAAGGGCAAGTAAGTTGCCCAAGACTCTTAGGACCCCACAGCCAGAACTCTTGGCTAGTTTGCTTCTGCAGTAATGGGGAAAAGGTCTGTGGCTTTTGAATTGGATTTCAGTTTTGCTCTCAGATTTGTAAATAACTCTAGAAACAGAGGAGCCTTCTTCTTTTTAGATTAGCCTTCAAGTGAGGGCTTAACAGCAATTGCAGAGGGGAAATGGTTGCTTCATTAACTCTCTCAACATATGCCTTTTACCTAACACTCATGGTGCTGCAGTGTTAGTAAGGATGTCTGAACTGGTCACCTGTCTTATGAATGAATGACTGTTGTCTGCATGATATATGAATATAGTTTGCATGAAAAAGCTTGTAAATGTTTCCCTGAGTGCTTCAAAAGAGAAGTGATTATCCTATCTTGAGCTCCATAAAAAGTAAATAATCACAAATGCCCTCACATTTCCAGGAGATAATGAAATCACAGTGGCCAGTAGTTATCTGGAAACACTCCCACCATTCCCACCCACTGTCCATATAGTAGTAAACATGCAGAAAGCTTACTGATTCAAGGCTTCTTCCTCAGAGTTCCCAACTGCATACCAGTGGTGTACATTAATGGATTTTTCTGTGGCTTCTAGGTATTTATCTAGTCAGAAGGAACCCAATCTCCTCCAGGACAGCATCTGACCCCTCTCAGCTTTACAGGGGGTAGAATTAGTTTCGCACTACACTGGCATAAGTATGCAGATTTGTAAACTTAACTCAAAACCATTTACGTGGCACATACTGGATTTCTGCCTTAGGCCACATGCCTTTCCCAATGTTTTTTTTTTTTTTTTTTTTTTTTCTGAGTTGATTTCCATTCACTGGTAATCTGTGATCCACGCATGCTCTCTTCCCCTTTGCAGTTACTGCACGTTGCAACTTAAATCCCTTTTCTTTCTTAAAGAGTTAAAGTTAGAGAAAAGTTGGTGAAAGAGGAGAGTGCTCACAGCAGCCCTGAGCTTGCCTCAGAGTCCTTAGCTCAGAGGAGACATCAGCCGCTGTCAGTCCATTACCTATCCTTTCAGTCAGAAAACTCAGCCTTCGATAGGGTCGCAAGCAAAGCAGTGAGCTCTGTGAGACAGCCGAGCCGTGGCTACGTCCAGCCAGTGGACCCCGTGCACACAGTCAAGCTGGTGACCGCAGAAACCCCAGAAAATACATCTGAGTGCAGCTGGGCAGGATCAGCCACCCCAAATGTCATAAAGCCTTCCACCTCGAAGGTTCTAGAAGATGAGAAAAGAGATGCCCCAGTCCTTCATATTTCTGAATCTAAAGAAGAAGATGATACGCTCTTCACTGAAGCTCTGGAGAAAAACCAGAAAACACTCTTGACCTTGGAGGAGGATGGGCTTGCAAGCAGTCACAAAGCCTCCTCTGGGAACGAAGACTTGGGGCAGCAGCCTGCTGTTAGCACAGTCTCCTTAGAACCTCAGAAGGAACCTCAAGTTCAGCTCCAGCCTGCTGAGAGAATGGGCCGAAGTGAAATGGTTTTGTATGTTCAGGGTGAGCCTGTGTCCCAGGAGGCCACACTAACCAGTCGCAAAAAGGGAGCACCTCCGAAGAAGCACAAGGTCCTTACCCGCTCGCTGTCTGATTACACGGGTCCCCCTCAGCTCCAGGCCTTGAGGTGTAAGGACCCAGCTCCAAAGCGAGAGCTGGAGCCACAGAGTTCCAAGACCGAAGGGCCCAGTGCAGAAGCCAGCATCCTGGACACCAAGGTCTCCGTTGCCCAGCTCCGAAATATGTTTCTGGAGTCTGCCAGAGCCAACAAGAAACCTGAACTGTAGGTGATGTTGCAAACGTCCTCCTGATGTGTCACTTGCACGTCCATGGCAGAATGACTCACTTCTCAACTTGTGTTGTGTACTGCGTTGAATCGTGTTAGCTTAGCTCACAAGTGTGTGCAGGGCAGACTGTACAGGAAATGGCTCACAAACTACCATTCTGCTTCAGCCTACTAATGGGGAGCTGGAGGAGTGGGTCTCGGGAGTGCTCCACCTCCATCTGTGCATGGTAGAGGCATGTATAGGGGTCTAGCAATCTGTGCCTTGACTCGCTGAGATGCCTAAACCTTTGTTTGCTTTATTCTCTTTCTGTCTTCCCATTCCCCTGCTGTGTAATCTCTGCCCTGTGATTCTAAAAGCCAATCACGGGTTGAGAAGTCATCCGAAGGACTTGGCTTGCCTACCCGTATGGAACGGGAGAGAGGGTCCCGGAAACCAAGACGCTATTTTTCTCCTGGTGAAAGTAGAAAAACTTCTGAGCGATTTAGAACTCAACCTATAACCTCAGCAGAACGAAAGGAATCGGATAGGTAGGCATGCCTCTGTGTAGTTCCATCGTATAGGAATGTAAAATAAAGAATGCAGGATTTTTACCAACCTGATGGTCCTGATGCTATTGACAAAGGATGTTGGTGATTCTATTACTCTTCTATCTAATCTATTAGGGATGTTTATTTGTCTTACTTAAATATATTTTAAAAGAAATATTGACCTTCTCAACAATATCACCATATGGTTTTAAATTACATTCAGATGGCAAGAAGAAACATTATTTTTCTTCATTTGAGGTTTTTAACTTCTTTCCACTCTTGTTCAAGTAGAATCTGAATTAAGTATTGACCAAGTTTTCAGTGAAAATAAGAAAGGAATTTTATATTCATTATATTATACTCATTTTCAGGGTAAGATGTATGTAAGTTTCTACGTTATCATATGTTCTTTCATAGAAATGATAGTTTTCTCAAAAATTTATCATGAGTCCCGTTTAATAACTTGTTTGTGATCCTGGGTTTTCTCCATGAAGTGTTCACTTGGCTGGGATTTTGTGTACACGCTTTCCACAGTGTCAGTTAACAACTATATGTGTGTGTATTCACAGCTAGGGTTGCTACCAGGATGATATTCTTTAAGAGAGGTCAATTGCATCTGTATTTTAACTTTTAATGTGATGTCTTATTTGGATCTTCCAATCCCACCACTAATTCATTGTTATTATTTGCTAATATTTCTTCCAGGTATACTTCAAGTTCAGAAATGCCAACTGTTGAAGGCAAGTATCTGTTTTCCTTTTTCTTCCTTCTTTCTGACCTATCCAAATTAGATTTAAAAAACAAGATTTTTTTTTTTACTTTTTTGTGGGGGGAGAATAAGACTATGGAAATTATTTATTTCTTACTTTCAAGCAAATGTGCTGTGAATATAATAAAACCTAGGAGAAATTTTTTAATGGGTTTCCTTATTTTTGATGAGTTAAGAAAATCACAAAGTAAACAATATAGAAACAACTAATTTGAACCCAAGAAGCAGGTTTTTCTTGTTACTTGCTCCTGTACAACAATAAGAGAAATCCCTTTCATAAAATCTATGCTTGAATCTCCATTGGTTAAATATAATCTGAACACAGTTTGGTATGGTTTGGTTTGGTTTGAATTACATTAGGAATTAGTTTCTTTTTACTGAACAGAAAAAATGGGCTAGTCCTAAGAGGAAAATATTCCCAGTTATTTTGGTTCACTTATGCATGTTTTTAAGGGATTTCCAGATCAATCTTGGAAAATGGTCTAGAGACATTTACATTTTGAAATGATGTTCAGTTTTTATTTCACGGCTTTTTACAGATGAAGAAAAGGTAGATGAACGAGCCAAACTGAGTGTTGCTGCCAAGAGGCTGCTTTTCAGGGTAAGATGTGCAGAAAAACTTGGTTAGAAATCATAACCCCTATAGAAGGAGACTCTCAAGGCTCTGGCTACTTCACACACTCTGAGAGCCCTAAAGTTCTCCTCATCTGGCCCACCTGTTGTTCTCTTCCTATGCTGTGTTAGTCAGCTTTTCATTACTGCAACTAACTGCCTGAGATAATGAACTTAAAAAGAAAAAAAGTGTGTTTTGACTCATAATTTCAGTTGTTCCAGTCTGTTATCAATTGTCCTATTGCTTTGGACCTGTGAAGAAGCAACACATCATGGTGGGTAGCATGTGGTGGAGGAAACTGCTTACCTCATGGCAGCAGAGATGAAAGACAGAGAGGAAGAGAATGAGTCCCGCAATCCCTTTTTTAGGGCATTCCCTCCAATAACCTAAAACTTCCCACCAGGACCCACCTCTTGAAGATCCTACCACCTCCCGATAGTGCCAAGCTGGAGGGACCAAGCCTTTAACACATGGGCCATTGTGGAACATTTCAGATCCAAACTACAGCATAGGCTTTGACTGATTTTGTCCCAGCTGTCCCAGCCTGACCCGTTCACTCCTGATGAGGATGCATGGTTCTCATTGCTCGGCCCTCCTGTGGATCTTAGAGGAGGACAGAGTAGAGACATTTCACTAGCCCGATTTCCTTTCCTTGGATTTAGAAGATTCCTCAGTGTTTCTAATCTTAGGAAATGGAGAAATCATTTGAGGAACAAAATGTCCCAAAAAGATGCTCGAGAAACCCAGCCGTGGAGCAAAGGCTGCGCCGCCTGCAGGACAGGTCTCACACCCAGCCCATAACCACTGAGGAAGTCGTCATTGCCACCACGTGAGTCTCCTGTGCGATTGCTTGGCCTCAGCTGTAAAGTCTCCTCTTGGTGGGGGTGAGGGGGGAAGACTTAAAGAATTTTAGATAAAGATGAGGCAATATAACCAAGTTATGATGAGTGCATATGTGAATACGTTGCATGTACCCACTGTTACTTATAATTATAAGGCATCAATTAATACTTTTATTTTTTAAACAAGGAGACAATTGGGAGATAGGTTGGCCAAGAAGTCACAGAGAAGTTGGTTTTTCAGGATTTCCTTTTCTACTACCATCTCTCCAAGCTTTGTAATGAGATGCACCACTTATTGTAGCTCCTTGAAAAATATCGAGGAATTTTACCCATACAATTTGGGTTTTTGTCTCCATGTTTTATTTAAAATGTAAAACATGAAAGTAGATTTAAAAATAATGAACCCCCAACTTCAGTGAACCATTGTCAACTCCTGTAGCCCCATCCTCTCCCCCTTTCCTCCTGCATTATTTTCAAGCAAATCCCAGACATCACTTCATCCATGAATATTTCACTATCTCTAAAAGATAAAGATTCATTTTGTTTTTGAATAGTCAACAAGTATGTTTTTTTTAATTACTTGGAAGTTTGATGACTTTCCAAATCACAGGATGTCTCTTTTGAGCAATATGTTCCAGTATGTGCAGAATTAATTTCCCAAAGTAATTCATTCAGAGATAATGGCTTCAAATCAAATGAAAATTTTTATTAATTTTTTAAAAATTGTTTTTGTGGGCATTGACATCCCAAAAGGCCTCATCAGTTTGTTAAGAGAAATTATTTTAGAGTTGTTGGTATAAAATAAGAAACAGATACCCTTGGAAGCAAGACAGTAAATAGAGGAAGAATTAGCATCTTATAACCTCAGTGAAACTCCTTTGATATATCTGTAGCTTATATGAGGATACTAATTCTTTTGGGGTGAACTTTTTAAATTTATTTATTTATTCAAATTTATTATATATGACAGCAGGATGCATCTCAATTGATAACACACATATAGAGCACAATTTTTCATGTCTCTGGTTGTACACAAAGTAGAGTCACACCATTTGTGTCTTCATACGTGTACTTGGGGTAATGAGGACCATCTCATTCCACCGTCTTTCCTACCCCATTGCCCCCTCACATCCCTTCCCTACCCTTTGCCCTATCTAAAGTGCCTCTATTCCTCCCATGCTCCCCCCCACCATCCCCATTATGGATCAGCATATGAGGAGACTAATTCTTTTTTTAAAAAGAGAGAGATTGAGAACACCATTCTAAAATGTGGGCATAATCTATTGATTTGCTGACAGCTGGGTTTTTTTTTTTTAATTGCTTTTTTCAACAAGGAGGTTTATGCTAAAGATGAAAGTAAATCTACAAGCCCTGTAGCTATACTTAGTCCATTTACTTTGGGCAGCCTCTTATTTTCTAAGTTTATAATTGCTTTTTGAGTTCGTTTATGTTTTTTTTCTAAAGTAATTAGCAAATAATTTGGTAAAATATTTAACATTTCTGAATTTGAAACCATGCTTTCTTTAATGCTTCTTTTCTTCTCTCTCCTTATGAATGTTCCTTCTTTGGCAATTGCTTGTAAAGTGAATCTATCGCTGCTTCGTGTTCTGGGGTCACCCAACCTGTAATGACGAGACTTCCTAGTCCTACTGTAGCTAGGAGCTCTGTGCAGCCCGCCAGGTACCGGATAGAAATAGCTGCGTGTGGCACCGGGTGCAAAGGTGCTGGGCAGCAGAGGCATCTGAAAGCCTCAAATGCCTTTCATTTGTTTGACAAACAAGTTGGGGCAGTGAGTTGTTCCCGGAATGTGTGGCATTTTGTTTTGTCATCCTGCAAGCTACTGATAATGTCATGTAGGCCTGCATGAGACAACACGTAGCCCATCTGTGTACGTCCTGTGTTGGCATTAGAATCGCACTAACTCACTTATCCATTTGTTTTGCTTCTGTTTTTTTATAAGAATGGTCAGTCCTAAAAATTTTCATCAACTAAAATACAAGCCCTTAAAGATGAATGGAGAAATGGGCATCTGCATGAAAGTGGAAATTTTGATAAGACCCACCCAGTTCTTTTAATCATGGACACAAATACACATTAAAAACAATCCTCCCTTTTTAAAATTTATTTAGAGAGACAATGCCCTTATATTTTAGGATTGAGATAATAATTTATAGTGTCTGATCATAGATATTTTACTGTTACATTTCAAATGGTAGTGTTTTAAAATTATGCCCTTAAGCCATGTAAATATCCCCTTTGTTTTACTCCCATGGGCCAGAACAGAAAGGCTAAAAATAAGATTAAAAGAAGTGAAATGACAGTGTAGGAATGAACTGGCAGTACCCAGGAGCAAGGCTCTCAGGGAAGCAGGCTGTTGTCCTACCAGCTTGTGGTACTTGGCTCAGGAAAGCCTCTAAGGCTCAAGTGGCCTTTCTCACCACCTCATTGTACCTGGACACAGAGACTGCTCTTTGGTCCGGGACAGCCTGTGAGTCAGTGATCAACTGCAATGAAGACAGAATATGCTTCTTACTAGATTTGAGAATTAGATTTGCTGGTGGCAAAAAGGATATTGTCCTAGAAACCATTAGAGAGTCACAGTGACCATGGAAGCCAAAGCCTTACTTTTCCTAACTGGAAGGTGGAGGGATTTATTATTATTATTATTATTATTATTATTATTATTATTATTATTATTTGGGTGGGGATGCTAGGGATTGAACCCAGGACCTTGCACCTGCTAGGCAATTAATTGTTTTACCACCGAGTTCCATCCCCAGCCTTTGTTGGGAGGATTAATAATCACCTGAAATTTTATTCACTTTTAAAGTTATTGAGAATGAGACTTTAGAACCTTTTAAAAAGAACTGGTAGAGAAAGCTATAAGAGAAAATGCTACACAAAGGCAAATTAAAAATCTGTGTTGCAGATTCTGTTGTTGACAGATAACCATATTTCCAGTTATTTAAAATAAATAACTGGAAATGAAATGATGAAATGGTTACCTCCTGGACATCTTTGAAGAATATCTGTCCATGCCCTAGGTAATGCCTTGTGACTCCGTTAGCCTTACTTCTTATGACACTAATGCATCTGTCTCAGAGTATGTCCTACCCAATTTCAGTTCCCTACATAGGAAATTTACTGTTTAGAAACAATTCAGAACTAAAAATCTGCTTGCTGTAGAAATGCTAATTAATGCTAGTGTCCCAAGCCTACTGTGCTACTCACTGTCTTGTTTAATACCTAAGCAATTGCCTACCCTCGTCCTAAGTTTGTGTAGAGAAAAATAAGCCCTTTGCAAAATTAAGTGATACTTTGAAGAAAGCTAACATATAAAATTAGCAGTGGGCTTTTGTTCCTTTTCACCTACATCCCTGACTTTCACTCCTTCCCTTTCAGATTACAGGCATCTGTTCACCAAAAGGCTTTAACCAGGGACGAGGCAAATGAGGGCAAAGATTCTGCTGAACCAGGAGAACCTGATTCCTCCACTCTGAGCTTAGCAGAGAAGTTGGCCTTGTTTAACAAATTGTCCCAGCCGGTCTCAAGAACTATTTCTACCCAAAACAGAATAGACATGAGACAGAGGAGAATGAATGCCCGCTATCAAACCCAACCCGTCACACTTGAAGAGGTGGAACAGGTGAGTACACTGTTATTTCATTCTGGTGTGTGCATATGTTCTTAAAACGTAGCACAGTATACTCTTAGGTTGCTGATATAATTAAGGCAGTCTGCCAGCAAACTGTGTTATGGACAGGTAATTTGGTAATAATTTCATCCCTAAGAATTACGTTTCTCTTGTTTTTGTAATTTGCATGCAAGATCTGAGTCCATTTTTGGAGACAAAAAAATATATAGACATATATTAAGGCCAACTTTCTTCCCCTCTCCCACCCCAGAAGTTTTGTTTGAGATGTATTATGGTTTATCACTGAGATAAGCAGTGAAATGTACCAAATGTCGTATTTCAGTTTGTGTCAATCCAAAAACCAAAGTTTATGTAGATATTGCTTTTCCACCGGTTTTTACTTTTTAACTGTATCCTCCCAGGTGCAAAATGGGAAACTCATTCCCTTCTCACCTACTGTGAACACATCTGTGTCCACCATGGCCTCTACTGCCACCCCGATGTATGCAGGGGATCTTCGGACAAAGCCATCTGTTGATGACAGTACAGATACCACTGACTATAAGTTTCCTTCTTCGATAGAAAATGCAGACTCTCCAATAAAAGGCATTCTGAAATCACAAGCCTGGCAGCCTTTGGCGGAGGGTAGTGGGAGCAAAGGAGTGATGAGAGAATTTGGAGAGACAGAAAGCAAGAGAGCTTTGGCTGGAGACAGTGGTATTAAGAAGTACGGGTCCTATGAGGAAGCAGAACTCTCCTACCCTGTCGTTGGCAGAGTCAGGGAAGGGGATAGCCATAAGGACTCTAAATACCCTGTTCCAAGGAAAGGAAGCCTGGAACTAGCCAACCCCTACATCGCTCATCTTGATGAAGAACCAAAGGAATTTTCTACTGCCAAAAGCAGTGCACAAAGAAATCTGGACTTGAAAGACAGGCAGCCCTTTGAGGAAAAGGTGGACATGGAGAATGTCACAAAAAGGAAGTTTTCACTCAGAGGTAAATTACTACTGTTCCTCCAGTTTTCTATGACAACAGGGTTTTTAGTTTCTGCTTGATTTGTTGCATGTATTTGTGATTCCTTTTAACTAAATTATAAACGCAGTTCGTAACTAGTATGGATCAAAAGTGCAGTGTGAATCCTCTTCTCCCCTCAGACCTCTCTTCCCCTTGAGTCCAGCATGGTCAGTGGAGTGATTTTTTTTTTTTTTTATTATTGATTAAAAAAAGTGTTGTTTTTTTTTTAATCAATAAAAATGACTAAAACCCTTTCACACACCCTGGCTTACCTGGTAACTGTTGTCATTGACTCATACAACTGTCTTCTGAGGTGCTTAGCTCTCTTGAACCCTGTTATAAGTTGAAGGTCCAAAAGATCCAGGGCTGGATAATCATAGGGAACAGGACTTTGAACTAGTCTCTCATTTCTAGGCTCTTTCTTTCTACACCCCTGTTTGGAAGGCTAATAAACTCTACTGCATGGGACTTTAATCCTCTTTCTATGTTTGCATACAGTGATACTGTGTAAGTAAAGGTTTGGGCTTTTGAGTACAACACACTTAAAATATCAAAGTATTGTTTGGGAGAAGTAGAAACATCCCATGGTGTGTAATGGAAACTAACATCCTGGGTCTTGTGCCTAGGAGACAGATGGATCTGCTGTGTGGAGCAATCCACCAGGAAGTTTGATTTTCTCACAGAGTATAGCTGCAGATTTGCATAAACCCAAGTGCACTGGGTGACGTGCCATGTGCCCACGGAGTAACTCCAGGGCTGTACTGTTGGGAGGTGAAGAGCTGGAGGAATGTCAGCTGGAGGAGTAATGCTGATGTCGCTCCTTTTCTCCCAGCCTCAGAGTTCGGGGAGCCTGCTTCTGAGCAGACAGGGATAGCTGCTGGGAAAACTGTTGCTCAAATAGCAACCCCAGGGTCCTGGAAGCAGGAAGATTCTTCAGAACAACTACAAGAGAAGTACTATAAGAATCCATGCACCATGTTTGCTGTAGGAGAGACCAAAGCGCCCATGGAGGAAGGCATCCTTGATTCGCCTAGCAAAACCATGTCAATTAAAGAAAGGTAATAAGAGTTAATGACTGGAAGTAATTCTATGGGGAAGGAGCTGACAACTGGTTGTAGAAAAAGATCTGGGTAATGGACCAAGATGAAGTCAAGAATTCAATTACATTTGAGAATATTCTGTGATATTAGGATAATTCTGGAAAATCAAGATGTTTGAGAGTGAATTGCCTTTGCCCAGAGCCTGGTTTAACAATGCTGATAGGATCCCAGTTCCAGACTCCAAAGAAAAAACAAACAGAAAAGATTTTTCATTGCTTTATTTATTTGCAGTAGCCATTTCTTTTATTATGTTAAATTCTTGGATTATCTAGGGATGGGAGTTGAGTTCTTGGCTCTTTCTGTTTCAGAGACACATGGTTTGAACCAAATGCACAAACCACTTCTGATTGTAAAATAATTACAGAGGGAATGAAGATAAATTAGTACATAGAATCTACAGCTTTGGAATTAGAATCTAACTCTTTTATTTATAGAAATAAGATGAATGACTTTTCTTAACAGCATTTTAGAATCCATATCTCCCAACAACTCACAAGCTCAGGAGCAAATCAAGAGTCTTATGAAAGCTCTGCAAATGTTCTACCAGTGAGCTACACCCCCTGCCCTAGAAATTTTATATCAGGTAATAGCTCTGAACAGATTACATTTGAATACCAGATAACACTGTAGCCTCATTTCATTCAAAAGACTGATATGTTTGAGAGAAGATATTTAAACAGGACATATACAAAGAGTAGAAACTAAATCATTTTAGGATGTAGACACAGTTGAAGTTTGGTATTAATGGTATTAAGAAAAGAAAAAAAATGCAATAGTGTTAGGAAAACTGGATTAGGAAAAGCTACATCAACTTCCTGGTATAACTAGCAGAGCTGTTTCCACTGTCTGTTCCTGTGGTTCTGTCCACCTGGACCCTTCCTTGGCAACCCCGACCAAAGGGAAGTTCTCTGGCTTTGTCAGGCAAGGATCACTCTTATTTTTCTAGATGTCTCTCGTGATGCCTAAGATTATATGTCTAACCACAATGAAAAATCTATTTTTCAAGATAAGCTTTTCGAACATTATTCATCAAAGTTTAAATGGATGGAGCCTTTTTCAATTGACAAATTAATAAGATTTTAAATCTTCTTGATTTTTCATCCTTACTTATTTAAAATCCACAATAAACAAGTCCTAGTAGGCTGAAGGGGAACAGGGGAAGGCACTGATGGGATTAGTTAATAGGAAGAGTGATGTCTTGGATAAGGGACACAGTTTGGCTCATCTTGGCATCTTTATAAAAACCAGGCTTGCTGGGCACAGTAGCACATGCCTATAATCCCAGTGAGTCAGGAGGCTGAGGCAGGAGGATTGCAATTTCATAGGCAGCCTCAGCAATCTAAAAAGGCCCTAAGCAACTTAGCAAGACTTTGTCTCTAAATAAAATATTAAAAAGGTCTGAGGATGTTTCTTAGTGGTTAAGTGTCCCAGGGTTCAATCCCTCTTCCAAAAAAATAAGCCACACATTTGATCCCAGAGATTTAAGTATTAAGGACTAGTCAGGTGAAGAGGAAGAGATATAATTTAAGGGAAATAGTGATAAGTATCATATTCTGATGTATTCTAGATCAGAAGATATTTGTTAGGTAAAATTCCAGTAGCAAATGCTAATATCATGCCATCATCTTTCAAAGGCTTCTAAAGGAGGACTCTTCTTCTGCAAGTATCTTCTCTCTGTTGGGATGTAGGACTTTTGATGAAGAAATTTTGTGTCTATCCACTATGCAATAATATTTCTTGATTTACTTGCCTTTCTTTTTTTTAAGCAAATTTGAGTTGATCTGTATTTTTCTGAATGCAATTTTAATCCTAAGGTAAAATGCTCATTTTTAAAACTGTGAAGTACTGTAAAGGTGCAGCTTCTGACCCCTGGCTTTGTGGACATCTGAGAAGTTCAAGGGTAACTATAAGATTTCTGTGAATGTATCTGCTGTGTACCTGCCAACTACTAGGAGCCCTAATTTACCACAGTCCTGAAGAGGTTCCTGACCCCAGTCAGTTCAGAATCCTGATAGTTAGGAATGCTTTAAAAATATTCAGTTGGGCTGGGGTTGTGGCTCAGTGGTAGAGTGCTTGCCTAGCATGCACGAGGCACTGGGTTTGATCCTTAGCAAACATAAATGTAGAATAAAAGATATTGTGTCCACCTTAAAAAAAAAACTAAAAAAAATTTAAAAAATTAAAAAAAAATATTTAGCTATTCAGTTGAATGGTTAAAAAAGTGTATTTTTTTAAAAAAATGAGGAAAACTGGGGATATAGCTCAGTGGTAGAGCACTTTTGTAGCATGAGTGAGGCCCTGAATTCAATCCTCAAGACCCCACAAAAAATAAATGAGGACCACCTTATTCAGCAGATATGCTTATAATGGATTTTGATAAAGCAAAATATATTGAAATATATTGCCAGGCATCATTTCCCCCTTACCTTGACAGTACTTTTATTCTTTCTTTGTTGGAAATACCAAGCAGTCTATCCATGATAACTGCCCCCCAAGTGGGGCTCTAATTCTTCCCTTTTGTTAAAACAAAATGACCAAGTTTGACCTATTTCAAATAAAAATGTCATTCATATGTCTGTTGGGGCTTTTTTTTCCCTTGGGTGACATAAGCCCACAGGACTTTTAAACCTTATTCCAACTCCTCCCAAATGTCTCATTATGCCTAATTATGCTCATCAGTCCCAGCAGCCTTTAGGACCATGGTAGTGACGGGACTGACCCCAGGGGCTGGTCTTACCCCCTGGTACCTGTGAACAGCTTGCCTCCTGTTCAGTTAGGTGTTTTAGCAGCTGTGTTTGTTCTAACTAGGAGAATATATGACAAGGGAACAGAAATTCTAGCCAGAAAGACTTCACTCTCCCTCTGTATTAATTTTCTCAATTCACATGTTCTTTACATGTCTTGTTAAAAATCTCACTTTTATTTTCAAATTTGAACTTCTAAGAAATAGAGCCTGGCATCTGTAGATTCCCATGATCCTATCTTCTAACTTACTGTACCCTCAGTGTGCAGTTCTGTCGTCCTAAACCTTCTGGCATTGGCCTCCTTCCTGTTGGGGACTTGACTCTATGGAGTTCTCCACAGGAGTGTCACCAAGTATCCTGAGCTTCCCTTGGCATTTCACTTGAGGTATCTCATTTGCTGTTTCCTCTAGAAAGGAAACAGCAGTATCCCTATCTTGTAGAATAAATGTGTAGAAACTAAGGAATTATAGAAAATCCTCCATATGCTTCCATTTTAGAATGTTTTGGTGCTCACAGAAATATATCTCCAAGTTCCTTTCCTTTACCTTTCCTGACATCTAGAATGCCAAGCTTGAACCATTAATCAGCAAAGAACTTAGAATGCAATCTACTGTTTTTCCATTGGGTCAATAAAAACCACCAGTTTATAACTGCCCAAATGATTTAAATTGTCCAAGTTCCATTGGGAACTTCTTTGGTAAGTACTGTGAGCCACATAATTCTATTTCTTAGGGATAAAACCTTTGGTATCTGTTAAAAGGCATATTGGGCCTTGAGAAATCTTATTTCCACGATTTCTGAAACTACTTCATCTGAGCTCTCATACTGAGGGCTGTTGGGTCAGGGGAGATAAATGAAAAGGGGGGAAAGAGCCATCCTGTCGCCTGAGGAAATTGTTAGAGTATAAGGACTTAGTGAATTCCTTAGAATGTTGAAGGAGCTGCCCATGTCTATCCCCAGCCTCAGAGGGCCAGCTGGGGTCCCCTGAGTTCTCCGCATGCCCCTCCACCACCTTCTGCACCCCACTCAGCTAGAGGTGTATTCGTGTCTCCCCAGCAAGCTCCAGGTTCTGACCTCCAAAGGCCCCCCAGATTGATGTGAATGAGAATAAGGACAGATAGAGGTATGATTTGCCTCTGCCCCCTCTCCTTTTCTCATCTTTAATTTGTCCTTCTTTTGGTCTATTTTCTGTAGTTATTTATATAAAGGAAAGAGGTTGTGGAGGCTGAATGTCCAAGACCTAGCTGTGTCTGGCAAGGGCTTCACACAACATGGCAGAAGTTGGAAGGGGACTCAGGACTGTGTGGAAGAGGCAAAGCAGTAGGGGCAGCCTTGCTTTATAGCCACCACACTTAGGGTAACTAATCCAGTCCCAAAAGAGGATGCAGGGAGAAAGACAGTAATTCCTCTTAAGACCTAATTTCTCCTTAAAGGCCCACCTCCCAATACTGCCACATGGCAACCAAATTACAGAGTTTCAGAGAGGATAGACCATATTCAAACCATAGCAGTTTTTCTTTTCAAAGATGTATTGGGGACTAGGAGTTCAGCTCAGTGGAGGAACTCATGCTTAACATTCCCACAGCCCTGGGTTCAGTCCCAGCATCAAGTAAATAAGTAATAAATAAAAGGTATTATTGGTTAACTCTGCCAACTTGCACACTAGTCAAGATCAAGATCTAGTATAACTAACTAATCAGTGCTTTTGAGCTCTGTTGGACATCTCTTAGGTGCCTCTGTTTCTTTGAAATGAGGGGAAATTTCTAAAGAGAAAAAAAACAGAAACAACACCATATTAGGGACACACGCTTTCTTGTCCCATGTTTGACCCAGTCCTTACTTTTATGAGCCTGAAAAACTTGTTCTGACCAAGCAGGGCTCACAGGCCAGAATTCCCTGCTGAAAAAGTGTGGGCTGCGGCAAGAGGAGCAGACATTTCCCTGGGCAGCCTGGAAAACACATGTCATGTTGGCCCTGGGCCATGCCTTGGGGTTCATAGGCTAATGCAGTGCCACTCACTGGCTCCACAGCCTCAGACTAAGCAGATGCCCACGCTCTCCACATTGCAGCCTTGCAAATAGCACTTGGACTTGGCGGATGTTAAAAGCACTGACAGTTGTTTGAATTGCACGGGCAGGAATTTATGTCATGTGTAGGCCCAGACGTTCAGCCCTCTCCAGTACATGGTAGTCTGCAGTGAGTTGGAGGGCCGGGAGATTGCAGGGGGAGAGAACACATTTAGAAAGATCCCCCGCCCTCCTCAGCTTGTTGAACACCAAGTAGGAAATCTAAAGGGACAGGAATCATGAGTTTAACTTACAGTGTGTGTCATTTTGAAGTTATTCATCATTAGTACTCTGTAGGCTAGGGCTGGGTCCAAGTACCATGTGGGCTCAATTGAAGCACAGTTTCTTCCATATTATTTTGGTTACTCTGTAGTCTTTGGAAGTCCATGATGATGACCTTGCCAGCACATCTAGAAGCAAAATTTCAGGGGTTTGGAATGGAAGAATTCTTTCAAGGCCATCATGGGAGGGGTGGGGAGAATATTATAAGAAAGCCAGAATACCGTGCTATTCCTGAAAGAGTAAAGCAAACCGTCTCTGATCAGCTGATGCACTAATGGAGTGAGAAAAGCTGTCCATGGGGGGACAGGGTTTGGAATCACACCTCCTGCTCCAATAAGATGCAGTGGGACCTCATTCCACAAAGCCCTTTTCCCATGTGTGAAAATGTGCCCTCTCTGTCGAGACAGGAATAACAATATCTGCTTTCTTAGAGATTCTTGCACAGATCAGCAGAGTGTAAGGTGGACTATAAAGTCATTCCAGATTCCTCAATTTGTTTTTCTCCTCAAACCAGCCACCAGGGAAACCACACTATTATTTAGATGGTATTGTCACTGCTCCAAACATTTGGCAGCTTCATTTTGAGAAGGTCCTCAAAAATCATACCCCGTTATTTTTAAGAACCTCAATTTGTGAGGATGAATTTGATGATTTTTATTTCTCTTAAATCATTTGGAATCCAACGCGGTTAACAAGGTGTATAAACAAGATAAATAATTACTGGTCTGAGTCAAAGGTGAGGTTGGGGACAGAAGCTGATTCAGTTTAAAGGAGAGCATCAGTGAAGGATGTTTCCTTCTTAAGGGAGTGTTTCCTTCTTAATGTGGTTATTAAAGTACTGACATTCTTACTTTTTTGAAAGTCTCATTTATTGATGTTTTGAGACCTTTGAAAGCTCCAGTGCAGAATGCCAGATACTAATTATTTCTTTCAGTGATTTGAGTTTGTGAGATTCTATTTCCATACTAGAATAAAACTGACTCATCCAAAATAATTGGAAAAGAGATGAATTTTAGTCATCATCTAGTAGGAAATGCAGATTAAAACATTTAATGGAATTTACATATTGTGTCCAAGTTCATGAACTTGCCCTTGTAGCCTGCAGAGTGCTCCCAACATTGTAGAATATAAGACTAAATGGGATCTTGAGCTATGTGAGACCTGCCTTTTCTACCTGTTTCATTGAATGAGCACTTGAGATCTGCTGCCACATAGCAGAAACAAAGAAAATAAAAGGGAAGAAAAAGAAAACAAAGGGAGAGATTTGGGGACAGGGATAGGTCCAAAGTTTGAAATCCTTCCTCTTTCAGGGAGTTCTTTGCTTTATGTCCTACTTTCCATTATTTGACTGGATGAATAGAAAGTATAGAGTATGATTATGGACAGATTTTTTAGATATAAATTTGTGTGTGTGTGTGTGTGTGTGTGTGTGTGTGTGCTGGAAATTGAACCCAAGGCCTCCTGCTGGCTAGCAGCACACTCTGCGGAGCTACATCCCCAGCTGTGAATTCTTGTTTAACACTGAATTTGTTTTCTCATTTGTTAACAAAACTTATCACAGAATATATTTTATCCCATTTCCTATTCAGATATTTTACAGAATCAGGAAAGTTAGCAGCAGAAGGGCCTTTAGAGATTTTCTTGTCCAGTTTCTGATAAGACAAATCAGAATAGGAAGCAGCATCCTTGAACGGAGATAATAGACTAGAGCTTGTGCCGCTTGACAGTGTCACTGTTTATGCGGTGCCCATTAGGCTGGGCCCAGAGAAACTGAGGTCTAGTCTTTTTTTTTTTTTCTTAATTTTAAATTGTTTGAGTATCAGCTCCAATAAATTTAATGATCACTGCCTTTTTGCCTTTTATCTGTCCCATGTTTGTTCAACTTAGATGCCTAAGACTAACTCAGTTATTTTAATACAGTTAGCTGAAACAGCCTCATGTTCATGAATGTTTCTTTTCCGATATTACAATATCTAAGCTGCTTTATGGCAAGTCGCATCATAGTTGAGGTAAAGTAGGTCAGATAACGATCTCAGTTAATTAGATTCTTTTTTTGTATATATCTTTCCCTTGAGAAAAGTTGCAATAATAATTTTTTAAGTGGGGTTTATAGAAAATAGTTTTTTGTATTAAGATGCATTGGAAAAAAACAAGTTCATTTGGAGGAAAAAAGAACAGGGCTTAGAATACAGGAAGAGAAACAATTATAAACATCATAATTTATCTTTGAAATGCATGATATTAAGATATTTTCAGTGTTTTTTACCTTGATGTTTTTAAACACATTTCTGCAATATTTTTTGCATAGAACTAGTTGTCCTGATTTAGTGTTATTTCATCATATGTCCAGAATGGGCCACTAGAAGACATTTTTCTCTGAGGATGGTGACATTTTTTTTTTTAATCTGTTTCTTGCTCTCAGCCCAAGGTCAAGGAAAACGCAGAGATATTCCTTTGCTGAAATGATGGTACATCTTTAGGACCATCTTGGAAAAGAGACTTTCCTACATTTTCAGAGTTTGGTGCTGAATTCTTGGCATGTTTTCCTCCTAGATTGGCACTGTTGAAGAAGAGTGGTGAGGAAGACTGGAAGAGCAGAATTAACAGAAAGCAGGAATATGGCAAAGCATCTGCCAGTGACAGCCTGCACATCCAGGAAGTGGAACAGTCGCTGAAGAAGAAGGTAAGGCTTCCGAGTTAGGAGAAAGCGTCTTCGCTAACATCACGCTTGCAAGTGCGTCAGGTGGAACAGCATGTGGAGCTGCACTGATTCCTGCTCTGTGGAACGTGAGCACTTTCTTGCCTTTAGGGTGCACGCTCCATCTGTCACCAAGCTGCTAACATTGATCAAAAGGTCAAGCCTTGAGATGTTATAGAATCAGTAACAGCACCACACATAGTACGTCAGCAAGCAAGTGCCTGAGTTTTAAAATATGTACACAGCTCAAACCTTGTTAAGTGAAATCTGGCTTTAGAATGTGATTAAGGCTTTCCAATGAAAAACTTTAATTCACCACTAACAGCTTGTAAGTTGCATATAAAAATATGGACTTGAATTTCCCATGCAGAGATTTAAGACCTACGTGTAAAAAATAAGGACATAATTGTGGCCTGCAAGTACATTCTTTATAATTTTAAACCTATTTCCTGATGAGGAGGTATGCCTTTTATTGAGAATGTTCAGCAATATATGTTACAAGCTTAAATAAAATCAAATCATGCATGGTGATCCATACTAGAAGCATTTCATATGCGAGGATATTGCTGGGTTGTTAGATTAGAAATGTAATGATGACCAGCCTTTGACCTCAGGCTTTCAAAGCTGATGGTGACTTCCCTGCTGGCTGACCCTACCATTCCAGTGTGCTTATTGCCTCTAGGGGAAATGATGCAGCTGAGTCACGCCCACTGGCCAAGTTCCAAGATTTAAAGTCTTCAAATAGAAAAGAGAAGAAAAAAAAATGTTCCACCTAGTCAATCATTTGAACCCCTTCTCTCTCTAAAACAAGCATCTGAAGCTGGGTGCAATGACCTTTAGTCCCAAGCTACTCAGGAGGTGAAGGTCAGAGGATCACTAGTCCAAGAATTCGAGACCTGCCTGAGCAACAAAGAGAGACCCTAATTCAAAAATAAAACTATGCATCTGTGGAGAAGAGAAAGTATGACTTGACCTTTATGTGTTATGAAACTTAACATAAAAATGAGAAGATCCAGAACATTAAGTCAGGGGCTCTGACAGACACTATTTTTATAGTACTTCTTTTTTCTTTGTTGTCTGTTATTTTTTGTACTGAAGATTGAATTCAGGAGTGCTCTACCACTGGACTACATCCCTAACCCTTTTTATTTTTTACTTTGAGACAGCGTCTTGCTGAATTGCCAAGACTGGCCTAAAATTGGGGTTTTAGGTATGCACCACTGAACCTGGGTTATGTACAGAACTTCTGTGTCTACATAGGTGACACTGGAGTGGAAAATTGAATTCTTTTTTAACACATGGTGTTAAAGATAATGTCTGAAGATGTTTAATTCTCAGCCATATGTGAAGTTCTCAAGTATAACTGGACACTAAAAAGTATCTGAGTTCTCTAGCTGGAGACATACATGGTGTTAAAGATAATAACCAAAGACATTTAATTCTCAGCGACTTGTAAAGTTCTCCCTCTAATTAACTAGATATTTAAAAGCATACATATGAAATCTAGATTTCAAGGTAAAAGAAAACTTGATCCCTCAAATAATATATCCCCAGGGCCTACAAACTTTATTTTTAAAAAATCTTGGGGCCAGGGGTGAAGCTCAGTAACAGAGCATTTACCTACTATGCATGAGGCCCTAGGTTCAATTCTCATCACCACAAAAACAAAGGACCTTAAAATCATTGGTTTAAAAATAACACACACTTGTAATCCCAGCAATTTGGGAGGCTGAGGCAGGAGGATGGCAAGTTTGAGGGCAGCCGTAGCCACTTGGTAAGACCCTGACTCAAAATTAAAAATTAAATTGATTGGGAAAGGGGATGTAGCTCAGTGGGAAAGCACCCTGGGTTCAATTGCCAGTACGAAAATAAAAGAAAACAAGCTGGTGCTGTGGTATACACCTATAATTCCAGCTACTTAAGAGACTGAGGCAAGGAGGATTGCAACTTTGGGGTTAGCCTGGGCCACTTAGTGAAATCCCATCTCAAAATTAAAAATAAAAAAAAAAAGAATTAAGAGCTGTAATTGCCACTCAGTGATAGAGTGCTTGCCTATCTTGTTCAAGGCCCTGAGCTTAATACCTAATACCACAAAAAATAAAAAATCTAAAACTTTAAGGTGGACCTCATTAGAAAAGCTGTCAACTAATATGTGATAGCACCAAGCAGTGTCAGATATTTTGTTCATCATTTTAAAACATGCAGAGAGTCCCCAACCCTTCCCTAGCAGACTGTCCCCTATAGCCAGGTGAATATAAAAATGAAGCTAAGAAGCAAAAGGTGAGATAGATCCCTGTGGATGGTGAAGTGTACTACAACCCCCTTAGGAGAGTGAGGGTGACCTTAGGCAGTAAGTACCAGAAGGGTGTGGGGAAAGGAAGAACCTGGACTGTCCAGACATGTAGCTAAGATTGCAAGAAGGCAAGAGACGCCAGGTTGTTTGGGGAGTAGAAAACCCAGTGACACAAAGCACTGGGTCTTGAGCACCTCGTGGGCTTGAGTGTGACATGCTGCCAGGCTCATGGATGCCACCAATTCTCTAGCCACAGTGAATTTACTATTCCTACTCCTTCTCGGTGGCCTACTTCACTTTGGGCCCCAGACAATAAGCTCTTTGAAGTTAAACTAACTCAATCTATTTTAGGCCTTTACTACACTCATTGGGAAATCTCAAGTTCTGTTGAGGTCAGGTTGTTTTCAGGTGGCCTCTGACAACCCCCTGGTTCATTCCATCCCAAGAGCTGGCTGTGCATTTCAGGCACACTTTGACAGCATGCAGATGTGGTAGGCCAGGTGCGTTAGACCTGGGCTATCATGAGATTCCCCACACACAGCTGAGGAGTGCTTGAGAAGTGCCACTGCTTGCCTGTCTAAGTGTGCCCTTGGAGAAAGAAAGACATGGATAACATGCACATGAAGATGGGGGCTTGCTGCATGCGGTAGATCTAGGCTCACCATGGAGAGCTGCTCAGCAGAGGGAGTATGGGAAATTTCCATCTTTACCACCCAGGGTAGAAAGGAGCCGGTCTTACAGTCAGCTCATCACTTACTTCCCAATTTCTGAGTTCATCAAACAGTGCATATCATGATTACCAAACATTTTAGAGCTTGTCATCCTTCTTTGTGCAACGAGTGTAGAATGTGGGAATGTAGAAGGGGAAGGACCTAGAGTTGAGGACTCTGTAAGTCACTCCATTGCTCCTGTGAAAATCCATGACACAGAGGTCCAAGGAAAATATCATGGGAGCCACACAGGTAATATAAATGTTTAAAAAACAAAATAGAAAAGGATGCTCGGACAATCTGTAATTGTTTTGTTTCTGCCAAGGGTGTTGTGCCAAAAGAAATTGAGGCATCTCGATTTGAAATCCTGTATAGTAATATTGTTTATATTTATGGACCTATTTTTGGTCCATAAATAGCTTTGGAAGAACTAGGAGTTTTCCTTTCTGTTCTGAAATTTCAGTCATCTCAGAGAACATGGAACTAAGCAACAGTTCCTTGCTTTCCACTTTTATTCCCCTCTAAATCAGGATTCATGACTTGGAGGTTAAGAGCACTAATTATTTACCTAGCTAGCTCTGTCATTTCTTATGAAAAGTCACTCAGGTTCCTGGTTTCTCTACCTCTCTCTCTTGCCACCCTTCTTTTTCTTTCTCCTACACTTGGTTTAGGCTAGGTTAGTACTAACCTGACTTACACATTTTTACTTCTTGTAGCATATAATTAGTTCTAATGATAGTAAAGCCATTTGGATTGTAAATTTGGCCAGGTCCACCCTGAATGGAATGTGTGCACTTGAGCATGGATTATGTCCAGTTTCCTCCAGAGTAACTCATTCCATCGGAGAGAGAGAAAAAAAAAAAAAGAAAGAAAGAAAGAAACGAGACAAAGTCGTAAAGAAGTGATTTGGCAGGAGTCTATTACAACTAAATTACAGTTCTTTATTTTCACCCAATAATTATTTTAAGTTCCAAACACATTTCAATCTATTCAACATTACAACATATGTATGATTCCCATGTCCTCTTGTTAAGATAATCATAAAAAAAAAAGATAATCATCCAGTGTATAAGACCTTTCCAGGAATTTAAAAAACCTTTACAGAATTGGACACTGAAAACCTGCACCTATTTCTGAGTCCCAGATGAGGACTGGATATCTGGTACTATGCTATCTCTAAAACAAGTGCTTGAAAATTCAAGGGAGGTAAATCTGCCACATTTATATTCTAATTGCCTGCTATCTTCAAAATTCCAAACCACAATTGTCAGTTCAAAGAGCAGGGCTGAGAGAGAGTGCAAGGCCTTAAATTAAAGGCTGTCTTCCTGCCCTGCCCTCGGGGGGAATGAGTTCACTTGATGTTTCTGCCACTGGATTGTGAGCACGTGCTGCATGTGTCTAATTGAACCAGGGCACTGAATACTTGAAAATGATGGTGAGACCCTAACTAGACTCTTCTCTTCCGATCCTCTGCAATGTCTCCTGTTTGTTTTAACCTGTAGGAAGAAGGAGGATTTACAGATGATAATGACATTTCTAATCTGCTTTGGGTAAGCCTGATTCTAACACAGGTGTCCTTCTGTAACTGAACTCAGTGGGTTCCTTCCTTGGTGAGTGCAAAGCCAATATGCACAATCAGGAGATAAAAGACTAAGGAAAAGTGTACTACTCGCAGCCAGTAAGAAGGGTACTGGAGAGAATTCTCAAAAAGTGCCTCTCCCAACAAAGACACCAAGGGGCTCTTGCTGGGGAAATGCACATATTCATATAAGAAGGGCTAGTTATCCCACGTAGAGATGGGCACATTCCTGAGCATGCTCAGTTTGAAATCTTACATCATAGGGTGTTCAAAAAAAGGTGGACAAGGTTGCATCTGGGCAGGGAATTTAGTATTATAATGAGCAAAGTTTACTCTAGGTCATCAAAAAGAGGGAGTCAGAGTGACTCAGCCACTTTGGTTTCTCTGGAGGGCCTTAACTCTA